TCACTCTTTTAGTAAAACATTCATAATGATAATATGACAGAGGAAAAGCGATATCACTTATAACATTAAATAAAAACTGAAACTGAAATTCTAGCAACACCAAAGTGGCGTGTAAGCGATTTTGTTTTTTTATTTTATTTCAAATTTATTTATGTATCGAATATTTTGATTAACGCATACCTATGTACAATTATTGACAAAGTCTCATTGCCAAATAGGGGCCTGTCGATATTTTCCCATACTCCATTACCTCAAAGCAAGCACAATGAGTAAATTTGTACACAAAAAAGTAATTTACCGTTTTTATAAAGTACCCAATACACTTATGAGGAAATACTCAAAGTACTTACTCTAATGCGGATATAAATTAGGCGGAACCAATTATTGGTGATTTCAAAACTTTTGAATGATTCTCTTAAATATTGGAATAAGAACAAAGAAGATTAAAACTTAAATGTAAAGAAAAGTTTACTAGGAAATTATTCACAAATATTCAGTCATTGTTTTTGTTTCACGAATTCAAACACGCGTCAAATGCTTAAAAATAAAAATGAACTACAAATAAATATACAAAATTAAAACTAACTTAATCGAATATTCTCTATAATCTACGGTTACTTGATCTTTCAGGCGTTTTTTCAGTGGAGACTGTTTTACATGTTTTCAACTAAAATATGTTTATTTCTCAATCGTGAGCAAAGCCAACAAGGTATAAGCAACAATAACAGAAGGAATAAATAGCTAGTGCAAAATAAATTACCACAAATTACCCCGCATCTACCCATGTTGAGTTTAACCGTAGATTTATACGCAGCCATTACTAACATTAAGCTACATTGTAAGCCTCATAAATTTTAATACACCATTATCATCTCAAAAGTCATATCGCATCACAGTTTACAAAGGTCATAATCGAATTAAAGCGTTTTAGATTTTTATTTATGTAAGAATGACGCCATACGAATTTCTGCTTTATTGGCTAGGATAGAGAGATGATTGTGTGAAAGTTCGTTGTGGTGCAACTTGCATAGAGAACAGAGTGTGGAGTGGACTTTTATTAATTTGATTTTTACATTTATTAGTTGTGCAAAAAGCTGAAAAAAAATGGTGAATATTAAAAATCTAAAGTTTACTAATTTGACTTTTGGAATTCAATGCCATTACCATAAGACGACGCCTAAGATTGTTGTCTGAACTGCGGTAAAAAAATCAATTTATGGGTATTTACAAGTCCAAAAGCTATGTTTGTTTGCCACTTTTTACATTAAAAACGAAATCATTTCAATGTTTTAGTGGAATTTCGTGAGTAAATATCTAAGTATCTATCAAAAAGTCACTGCTTTATACACTTATTTATTTTTATCGTTTAGTTTATTATAAATAACCTAGTAAATCCCGCCCCTGTCTGCTTATCTGTACGCTTACAATGAACAAATATCGAATTTGAATGGTCGAATGCGATCTCGATATGAGTGTCAAATATCAAAAAATAAAATAAAATAATAAAAGACTCATTCTGAACCCGTTTAAGCATGTTTTATTTTATGAGTGGTGTGCGTAAAAACCTAAGAAAAAAATAAATATCAAAAAGTTTTGCATGGAAATTTGAACAGTGTAACAACGGACGTAACAAGAATTAAAAATATTCTGTACAAAACTTCTTAACATTTGACGTGTATAAGTAAAAACTAATGAATTTTATCACTAGTTTTATGTATAATATTTACATGCCCGAAACCAAAAAGTAGTCAACGAAGCGAAGCGAGGGCGGGAAAATAGTAGAACTCTATACGATAGCAAAGCCAATTCCATATGTGGGTTACCTCAAGATTCACCGTGATTTGGAAGCAAATGAGATAATCTCGACATTACACGACGCACAGACAGACAAAATTACTGTTACGGACGTAACGTAACAGCAATCACACCGTTGTGATGCATAGAGATGCGCCTCATATACTCGTAGTGTTAACGGTTCTGTTATCGAATATGAAAATATTATTTGCCTATGTTTTATTCAAGTACACATAATTGCAGTTATCGATAAAAAGGTTATTTCACACAAGTTTTATTATTTTGAGTGTGTTTGCTGTTGGTCGCACTCGCACATGACCTTTACAGCATCGTCAGCGTAATCGGGTTTGTAAACGGGTAAATGCTAAGGGGATCTCGAGCCGAGAATTGGTGAGTGCCTCTAGAAGTATTTCAAGAGGTTGGTATCTCCTCTCTAGAGCCTCTAGACCCCTCGAACCTGAGGGGGTCGGTTCAAGAAGACGGCGTCTCTGAGACGCGGACCTCGGCTTTAACTAGCCGTTGTCGTAGGTACTATAGGTACCTACTATAGCGGGTAGTGTGTAGACAGGGTCTTCGCAACTCTTATCCTATGGATGCGGTGTTTGCTTAATACTAAGCTAGCTAAGTGTACAACTAAGCTAATAAATGGAGTAAAATTACTAATTATTTTTCTTAGCCTAAGCAATTTAAATAATTAGTACTCTTAATAAATGCTACATTCAATAGTCCTAATTTTTTTTCAATGAGCAAAGGGAGTTTAAATTTCTAATCGCCATGCTCTACGATGTGACGCTCTATTTTATCGATTTTTCAGTTTTGAAATGGAGCAACACTAAGCTGTCGAGACAAATTTTATTGTGATATACGGGCGGCCATTATCTCGATATTTGTACATGATTTATTGTTTTTACAAATGTGCACCACACTTTGCAGCAACTTCGGTAGGAAGCGAGTGTTGTAAGATGCCGTGACATAAAGGAAAATAGATATTTAACTATTGCAAGTCATATATTTTGAATACGTGCTCGGTATGTTTGGTGAAGATGAAATAAAATTTAAAAACTTATTGTGTACCTATTGCAGAGTCGTAAGCAAAAAGTCACAGTTAACAAAATGTATTAAATTTATCGATAAATGAAATGGCATTTTGACATAAAGTTTGCTATATTGCTGTAATCTGATATGTTGTTAATTGATAGACATGCGTTATGTAAATATTACATAGTATTCAATAAGTGACTTAATTTATTCACATCCTTCACCAAAGATAACGTCTGCGTTATGATTACGTCAATTATAAATAATAAATGCACTTCCTAGCTCGATCTTTACGTAGGAAGCGTCTGAGAACAATTTAATTACCTTCAGAATATTTCGCATCGATTATTTATTGATGTTTTTCTTTAATCGATTGTGAATTGACGAATTGTATGGTCTCTTCTAGTGAGTCTATTGAACAATAGACAGCCAATGATGTTGTTTTTTTGTTAAACAAACTTCTTTGTTCGTTATTAAGTGGTTATTGAATAAGCTACTGTATTGAGTTATTAATGGACTCTGTAGGTATGTTAATATTTTATAGATAGGTAGTTTTTAGTGTCTATATTCGAACTATTTCGTTCAATATTCAGACAAAAGAGGTATCGAATTGGAGCGCCTACGCCTGTCTGGGAAAGTAACCTCTAGCTTACTGTACCTTTAGCACGAACCAAAATCGAATTCGAATAGCTTGCGAGTCCGAAATCATCATCATCATCAGCCGATTAATGTCCCAACTGCTGGGGCACAGGCTTTCCCTATGGATGGAATAGGGAGATTGGGCCATGACCCACCACGCGAGCCTAGTGCGGATTGGCGGGTGCTAACGACTGCGGATGCAGCCGGGACCAACGGCTTAACGTGCTTTCCGAAGCACGGAGTAACTCGAGATAGTAAATAACGAAATACCATGAGTATGACTACGAAATAAATTTTGTATGGAAACTTGAACAGCAGCGCCGCAACGGACGTAACGAGAACTAAAAATCAGTACACATTTGACAATGGCATTCCGCACTTGCAAACGATATGAATTCGATATTCGTCCGTGCTAAGGGTACAGAAGGCCACAGTAAAATAACACTACCTTTTGGTGGTAGGTACGTATTGTGTTCCTTTTGGTAAGTAAGGTTCCAGGGCTCCACGGGGTAGGCACAGGAAACTGCGCGAGTGATAGCTATGGTACCACCGCAAGCGTCTATAGTCTATGGTGACCGCTTACCATCCGGTGGACATAGGGATGAAACGATATCATCTAGGTATCGATACTTTTACTCGATACTGTGTTGGTCATAAAGTATCGATGCCTACTCGGTATCGAATGAAAAGTATCGATACTTACTTGTATCGATAAATTTTGACAAACGATATTACAATTACCAATTCAGTCACCGTTTTAATTTAACGAAAACAAAATTTCGGCTCAATGAACGAATACTGACTGACAGACTGAATAAATTGGAATAAATGTAAATGATACGCAACAAAAGTTCCAACTAGACACCTTACCATAGAGTAAATAAACTGCCTATGAGTTTTTTGATACTTCTCAGTGAGTGACCGACAGGGTACCTATAAAAGTAGTTACTTCACAATACTACTTCTTACTCAGTTCTAAATTATCGACGCCAAAAGTACTTGATATCGAAAGAAAAGTATCGAGTAGTTACTTGTATTTACTCGTATCGTTTCATCCTTAGGCGGACCATTATGCTTGTTTTGCCACCCCTTATAACATAAAAAAGGTTAGAAATGACAGAAACTTTTTGTTCTGATTTAATATGAAACAATTGTACATATAATATATGCAACAAAAGTTTTGCATATAGGTACTTACGTGTTATACTTAATAATTAAGTAGTTATGTTCGGTGCATAACCGAACATTTATATTTTGCTTATTAATTATTTTGCAATACTTAACACCGTCACGGCGCCTGGCCTAATTTAGGTCATTAGCCGCGGTGCAAATATAAATTAGTGTAGATTTCGATGCATAAGCGAACGCACTCATTAACATACATTATTATAGTATTTTAAGAACATTTTGTGAACAAACAATAAACACGTAATTATTTTCGGTAACAACTTTATTATTTTAACATCCACTAAGCTCAGGCACTAACAAGTTATGTTTTAATTTAGTTAGGGAAAAATACTCAATCTTACCTTATTACTTGTGGTCATGTTGTTTGTTGAATTCTGAAAGCAAAAAGAGAATGTTAATTCAAGACCAAGTTTCATTTAAGTGATAGAAATTTATTGTTTTTTCTGAAAATGCTGTAAAATGATTGCTTTAGACACTGGGATGATGACTAATTTTTTTTCTTCGTTATCAGGTAGATTAGCAAAATGTATTTTTTTCTTTTTTCACATAATATAAACATTACAGAGATATATTGATTTGAAAAGTCGCATGACGTCTCGTTTTGGTACAATTTTCACTTAAAAGTGAAGTCACGAGCCCCTATTGCCAAACTTTGACGCGCTATATCATTGTCATGTTTTGCTTGATTGCCCAAAGAAAAAATACGTGTCCATTATTTTTTGATCATCTAACTGACGGACTAAGTAGAATTTCGTTTACTGTACCCCGTCATCACCCCTACAATAAGGTCAATAAGCGACAACTCATCAGCTGACAGTTTGCTATTGAATATTTAAATTACACACCCAAATAAATCTTGTTTGAACCTTGCTAATTTACATTAAGTAGCTACTACAGACATTATTTGCGTCGGCCGATCTGAAGTTGATCCTCTTGCAGTGCAGTAAGTAATCACCTAACTTCAGACTGGTCAAAATGTATCAGGCTAATGACGCCCATGTGACGGTTTTTTCGCCGGTGTGCTATGTCCGGCGTAAAACGACGGAACCCCAAACCGTGGCTAGCGCCGGTGTCGTGTGATTAACTTCATTGTGTTCCATATAAGACTGACGACGCAGACCCGGTTTGACACCGGGTATAGCTTCAGTGAAAAACCGTCTCGTGGGTAAGAGCCGTAACGCTACTGACACAAGTTTATTAAGCTTTGGTTGTTAAGTGCATAGCTCTATTTGTGGTTTCGTCTATGTGTTGATGTTCTTAATAGTAGATTGTGTTTAATATCACGGGCAGCATATTGAATTCTAAGCGACATCACACTAATATTATAAAGGCGAAAGTTTGTGAGTATGTTTGTTTATTACTTCTTCGCCCTTAAACAGCTGGAGCGATTTTAATATTTGGTATGGAGTTAGCTGACACTCTGGATTAACACATAAGCTACGTTTTACTGCGGGAAAATATCGCTAATAAACCGCGGGTTACACCGCGGGGCACAGCAAGTGAAGCATAAAGATGTTAATTTCCTAACGAGCTGAGGGACTTACGATAAGAATCCAGAATGAAGCGAAGGATTCAAGTCTTCCCAAGGCAAAGACACTTTTATCCCCGAGGTATTTATTACACTCTATACACCTACTGTGAGGTTAAATAAAAGAAAAAAATAAAATAAATACAAAATAAAAATCATAATTCTGACGACGCAGCCTGAAAAGGATGCAAAACGACAATGAAGCAATAAAAAAACTAATTTTGAATGTGTTTAAGTGTGTATTAAAAAAATTAAAAAAATAATGTATGAAACATTATGTTTCTATTATATAATTGGACTAACAGTTAAGTATATAAACTTAATTTGTTAAATATTGAAAGTAGGTGCTAGAAGTTAAGATTCAGAAATAGAGCACTATTTTTCAACTTTTAAAGTCTTCACAAACCCTTATATTTTTATATTGATCTATGGATTTTTCGAGCAAAATAACAGAAATTTTCAATATTATAAACTTCTTACAAACTTTCATATAAGTATTGATCTTTGGATTTTTCGGGCAAAATATCGCCATTTAAGTATTGATTGCCCTACGATATTATATGTTAAAAAAAATATTCTGCTTAATGTGTATAAAATTTCAACATCTCCGTTTATCGTTGACAACATAAACGTCATCAGTTTTTTAATGAAACGTTTTCCAAAGCGATTTACACACACAACATACTAAAATGTGTTTTAACGAAAAGCTTAAGAAATAATGATGCTTAAAAAAACAGAACACCGCTTAAACTTGAATAAATATAAGCCTTTTTCCCATTGCTAATTTTAAATATGAATACGATGGATGTAGGTAGGTAGGCAATTAGCTTTTCAGTATTTATGGTAAGTATTTTCTAAGGCAATAGACATTACAAGTACACTTGTCACGGAAAGTGGATAGCTTTATAGAAGGAGTGTCACATAAAGCCTTCACAATAATGTATATTCATGGTTTTGACCTATGGAGCCTCTAATTATGATTCCTACCTTCCTTATGGGGAAAACGAAATGTGTTTCTATATTGCTGAATGATTCCTATTTGTTTTTAGACAGACGTTGTCCTTCCCCATAAAAACATGAAATAAAAACGAAAATCTGATATTATAATGTATTTCTATATATTTAAATCTATACTAATATTATTAAGATGATTTTTTTTTGTTTATACGTTGTGTGCGCTGCGTAAAAGTAGAACTTACACAATAATCATGTATGACGGAATTGTTCCCCTTTATAAGTTCTATAAAAAGTCCGGAACAGCATAATATGCTGTTTACCTTGTACAGTGCTTACCTTGAAGGCTTGTGTTATAGAATACTAGGGTAACGGAAAATAGAAAACAAATAATGATAATAAAACATGTATACTTATGCAGTACCTACTTATACACCTCTAATATTAAAGGTGGCCTGTGGTTTCACCCGCATTAAATCGAGGAAAATAGGTTATTGCGGGGCACCATTAAAAGATAGACATATGCTGCACTGGACTTTTTTATAGAAATTTTAAATGGGAACAATTACGTCATATATAATTTTTGTGTAACTTTTACCGTTTACGCAGCGCTCGCAACAGAAACTCTCAAATTGATTTCCCGTTATGCAAATATTTTCATTGGAGCTTTGCTCCTAATAGTCGTAGCATTATTTTATATAGCATTATATATCTTCCTATATAATATATCCTCGATCGATATCGTCGATAAATGCACTATCAAACACAAAAAGAAATTTTGAAATGGGACTAGTAGTTCCTGAGCGCCTGAGTAACCAAAAAAACAGGTACTTACACACTGTATTTATCCTATTATTCTGCTCACATATGTACTTAGGAATTAAAACATTGAAATAAACTTACCATTAATTAAATCCGTAACTAATAGATAATTGCTAGTGAATTGTCTGTATGCTTAATTTACGAGTATAACATAATCACAATATATTTATTTGCTTTTGGTTCGATTTTCGTTTCATTTAATTTCTCATTTCATCAAAATTTTCCGACAAATTTTGGTTAAATTAAATTTCTATTTTAGATTATTTATTATGTCACTTATTTGTAGTGAATCTCAAGCTTTGCAGTGTCGTGGTCTGTCAACAGAAGAGGGCGGTTGCTACTCGTTAATTATTTGTATTATATTTTTCCGTGCCTTGACCGATATTTTATTAGTTATGCTGCTATTCCGGGCGGAGACAAATTCAAAAATCTGAAATTATTAAAATCTGCCCAGCCGTTCTTGAATTTTAAGTGTTCTAACTAACACTTTGTTTTATAGATATAGAGATAGATTCAACTTTTTATGTTTTCTATATTTTTGTTGTAATTATGTTTTGGACATTGTTATATGTTAATGACCATGAAAGATTAAAACAAAATACCTAATTATTTCTGTAACTTCACAAGTAATAACATAATGATTAAATAAATAAATAAGAATAAGAGGTACTGGTGGTATGGTGACGAGGCAAACTTCACTTCATAGAAGACCACAGTGAAAGAACCTTTGGCTGGTATGTGTTTCTATCGGTAAGTAAGGTTCTAGCAATGCTATTATGTAAAGACACAAAAGTTTTCACGCGCGGATCCGTATTGGATTCGCTATGGATCCGCGCGAGAACGCGAAAAGCACTACTGCAGTGCTATTCTGTAAAATTTTCACGCGCGGATCCACAGCGGAACCGATACGGATTCCCGCGTGAAAATACAGAATAGCACTGCTGGGCTCCGCGGAATTAATGTTGTCTGGGTAGGCAAGGCTTCAGCGGTACTGTATGGTATCGCAAAAGTCTATTCTATAGGCTACGCATTAATTTGTTATACATATGGATAACAAAACAGATGAAAATCAAAAGTAACATGTATATCATCATCATTACCAGGCTATTAATGTCCCCACTGCTGGGGCACAGGCCATTGGGCCATGATCCACCACGCGGGCCCAGATTGGATTGGTAGGTGCTAACGACTGAAGATGCAGCCGGAACCAATGGCTTAGCGTGCCTTCCGAAGTACGGCGGAGCTCGAGATAGTAAATTTTTGGTCACCCATCTAATGACCGACTACTAGGAATGTTGCTTAACTTCAACGATCGCAGCCGAACTCGAACGCGCTAACCACTTGCGCCATCGAGCTCCTCGTAACTAATATGTGTATAATATAACTATATCCGTATGTAAAGTTACACGAACAAAAAAAGACTCATTAGAACACTGTATAAAATGTGTTTTTTTTTGGCTCAGATGTAAAATTGGCTTTTGGCGTTTACGCCCTTTGAGCCCCAAGGTATCGATATAAAAGTCAAGTTGTAAATAAAATTTATGTAATACTGTGGCTTCTTGACCATTAGCGAGTTAACTAACTTGTCTAAATGTGGTTGGTCGTCTCGACCACATGACGTATCGCCCATAGTCGAGATAGTTTATAAGTAGAAAAGTATTAATGCTTAACAAAAGGTATTTTTCCGCGCTTACTAGTCGGACTACTTAAAAAAAATATAAGTTAAAAAAAAAGTTGCACATGCACCAATTAGCCTAGCCCCAAGAAGCACTGGGATATTATGGTAATGGATACATAATGGATATCTATCTATATATATAAAACTCAAAGGCCTTGACATAGTGATCTATCAACTCACAGCCCAAACCACTGGACGGATCGGGCTGAAATTTGACATGCAGGTAGATGTTATGACGTAGGCATCCGCTAAGAAAGGATTTTGATCAATTCTACCCCCATGGGGGTAAAATAGGGAATGAAAGTTAGTATGAAACTTTGTCAATTTTAAACCGATCGGGCTGAGACTTTGCATGCAGGTATTAGAAGAATCATAGATGAATGTCATTGTGT